TGTTCCCTCGAAGGCCCCACAAGAACATAAGACCGCTAGAGGGTTTGCTAGGATATCGAAATAGTCTTATGGTTCTTGTGGGGCGTTCGAGGGAACAATCTCAATTGTTTTGGACTTCTTCAGGCCCTGACGAAGGCGAGGAAGCCGAAACGTTGGCCAATAAATTATAAAAATCTTGGACGGCTCAAACTATCCACCTGCTTCGAAGATACAACAATGCCAAGATTAAGAGAAGGTCGATCCTGGTCAATTCTATAAAGACTTGTTATAGCCAACCCATGTCCACTCAATACTTTCATCTTCTCAAATTGATTTAATGATAAGCAACACGTGGGATGGACTGCACTGTGGGACTAGTTCCGGGAACCGATCCATGAGCCAAACGTTCGCTAGCGGCGCCATTTGCCAACTGCCTCAGACGTTTTCACTTTCTTTTTCCACAAAAAGGTAAACATAGGCAAGAGCTTGTTTTATCGCCCCACATCGAACCAAAGAGGGTCCATAAGTTGACTCGATAACATCGCCACCGTTTCTGGCTATGTTCTCTTCATATTTCGGTCTGTTTAGAGGAACGAAAAGGGCGCATTTCCTTCCAATGAACTGAAATCGGCTTAAAAGATAAACGCTTGCAAAACAAGAAGCCTGCCCACACTGTCCCTTCAGAAGACGAGATTATTCATATGGATATCCTTCCTGCATGCGCTAGATACGCAATCTTTTAGATGACGGTTCGACTGGGTTACTATGGAGACGGGCGAATGGGGGTGTGAATGACACTAACATGCCGACAGGATAGTCCCATTCGATGAGAATACACACGGGCAAAGTATTAAACGAGACAAAACAATCACTAGCACACACTATTACCCGTTTGAAAGCGAGAATAATTGATTATAGACCAAAATGTATGCGGAAATTACTGCGCTCATTCAAAATGACTTCATATTAAGTGAGAAAGTGTAAATTATCTGTAGGACAAAGTCGTAATCTATACCTGTAACTTGGCCTTCTGTTGAGCTGTTCACGACGCTTTCGTGCCTCATCTTCGCTCATGACCTCCTCACCAGAAAGAGCCTGAAACACATGTGTAGAACGAAGATTCAACAGCGGATCTCTGAGGATTTCCTTTACAAATCAGAAAAAATGTATTCTAGCTAGAGGGAACATGTATGAGAAGCCATACGAACCAGCTAAATAGCAATAGGTGGTCAGACCGATAGTTTTTGCAATTTCAAGACTGCCCATATATAATAAGTTAACAGGTAATAATCGAGAAAAACAGAAACAAATACTGTAAGAGTTGTAAAAAGCTTTGTTAAGCAACTATTACACAAGGGGGTGTGAAAGTAGCAAGATACAACTTCTCAATAAATTATTTCAGTGTGAAAATAACGAGATGCAACTTTTCAATAAATTGTTTCAGTAAACAAAAAGTAAAAGAGTACTTACCTTGTACAGCAGCATCGTGTTAGGAAGCGGCTGATAGCGTCAAGGTAAAATGGAATGAATTACAGAGGTGTATGAATGTGCGCGCGTGAGAGGGTTCTTTTTCAAAGTGAGCTGAGCGGATCGCCGGCTCGCTTTCGCCAAGAGAGGATTAACACTCATGGGATACCAATATCAAGAACCGATATTGGCGCAAAACATTAGCTGCAACTAATTAATCACTATCTTCATAATCGATAGGATGTTGAGGATACAGCAACGACAGCAGGGCTCGCAAAATTAAAGCGCATCTAACTCGTATTAAAAGACATGGAAGACAGGATGACCGGCGGTAACACGTGAAAAAGAAGAAAAAAGATAAAAAAGAGAAGTACTTGTGAGATATAAACAGCACCATCGAGACAACTGTCTCAGATTATGGCAGCCATGCGAAACATCCCCTAACAGAAGTACATTTCATTGTAAGGTGAACAAAAAATGTGTGTAGGACGTTTCTTCGAACAAGGAAAAATCTTAAAGAGGGGAGGTGAAGAGTGGGTGAAGTGTTGGTGAAGGGAAGAATCAGAAGAAATCACGAAGGAGAAGGAATTCGCAGCGAGAGCATGGTTACAGTTCCAAAATACGGTACCAGTTATACCCGATCACAAACCAGACAAGAAGGGAAAAACCACACAAGCAGATTGACTATAGTAACACCTATACATAACGACCGCTGACTGTTATGATTGCTCTGCAAAATGTAAGGTAGTGAATTAATTGAAAAAATACTACAGCTCATTTAATGCACTACGTTAATGAGGTTGAAATCGTGCAGGGATTCTGTCACCCGAACATCCTCTGGGTGCAAGGGCCCAGAGGTATTCTGATGCACCCATCCACTGGTCCAGTATTTAAAGGAAGAAGGGAATGGTAGAGAGAAGAAGGAGCGAAATGAGGAAAAGGAAGACGAACGAAGAAAATAGGAAGAACAAGAGGCTCCGCGGTTGAGAGTTGTCTTGAGTTGGATAGGGATACGTTGCAAACATGATAACTCATTTATTTATT